CAATTTTTTTGCAAATTAGTTGTTATTGAAAACATTTTATCAATTCTTTCAACTTTATCCTCTTTAACAAATCTTAAAAAATCACCTAAAAACTTTCTCTCTTATCATTAACTTTAAAATGACTCATTAATAACTCAAACACTAAATTTAAGAGGATTAGTAGATAAGATAATTACATAACCCATAAAATTGTAATTTAGAAGTTTTAAATTAATTATTATGTCCATTGCATATGGAGCTGGAAGAGTCATTGTTGACAATTCTCCTGGCATAGTGCTAATAATGGACTAGATCAAAATGACTCAATTAAATTCTAGTGCTTCTTCTATTAGTGAAGTTTCTAGAAAAAAGATATATCAAACGACGCAACACACCTTGGGTCGCTATGGAAAGAGCCTCCTTGTATAATTACAAGGGTAAGGTCTGCGTACAACTGACCCCCCAGACCCCAACATGTTGGGAATATACTGGGTATGTTGATGTTGATGATGATGAGAAGTTTTAAATTAAAAAAACATCTAAAAAGAAACAAAGAGGGAGTATATAGTGAATCGGACGTCGAAATTCCCGTCGCCACCCCAAACGGCCCTTGCCCGGAGCTCCAATCAGCAGGATCCTCTGGTACCGCCGATCAAACACAGCAAGAGGCCGGTTCAGTGCCCTCGGTTCGAAACCAGCCCCGAGCTTATGTTTCTGCTCGATTCTCTACCTTCAATAGGGATTCACACGCTCTACTGATTAGGTGCGTGCCTGATCAAGGGGTGGACAACGGCGATGAGCGACAAGGGGTTGATTAAGATAGGAGTTGGGTCCGTCGAAAGCCATCAGAAACCGTTGATCTATCACCGTCGATCTTCGAGACATCACCGTTATTCGCCATATGAACCTCCGGTCGTGACTCTTCTCCCGTCATGACCTTTTCAGTCAGTGTCGTCAAAGGGATGATGGGGGTGGTCTGCGATTTTGAAAAAAACCAAAAAAAAAATAAAGGGAATGAAATTAAGTTATACGTTGGGTGGAGAGGAAATTGAACGACAAAGAAGAAGGGAAAAAAAAAGAGAAAAAAAAAAGATGAAAGAGTGAAGTAAAATTAAATAAAAGATGAGTGAAAGAATTGACTAATTTAGTGTGTATTTTTAAAAAATGATGGTAATTGAAAATAAAAACCAAGTAGTATTTGTGTAAATAAAAATGATTTTAATGGTGTGCCTGAGGAACTCTGGATTTGTGAGAAGTGTTTTGGGGCCCCGCTTCATTGTCAGTTGCGGGAGTGGAGGCTTTAGCCAGCTCGAGACGGTTCTATGCAAGGAAAAATAACACCACAAGTCGGAAGGAAATGTTTGAGGGCGAGCTCGACGGAGAGCTCCTCGGGGACATGTCGTGACCGACGGAGGCGGCTTTGGAGTCGGAGGTAGCACGCAAATCTAAAAACAACAAAGAACAAAGAAAAGGATAATGGAGGATTTAAGGCTTGTAGAAAGGGGTTTCGTGGAGGAGAGGTCTAGCGAGGTTTACTAAATTAAAAAACAATGAAATATAAAAGCCAAAGATAAGGGAAACTCGTAAACTTACTGCCTGACGTCATGGTCCTGAAGGTTGAAGCTCGAGTGGCGGAGTACAACAAAGGACGGGAAGACTGCTTTTTCACAAAGAACAAGGCACGGGAAATAAAAGCTACACACAAATTGCAAAAGTTAAGAAAACAAATAAAGCATAGGAGAAGGATATTTATAGGGGCAGATTGAAGATTCGGAAGGTTGAACCTTATGGACCGTTGGATGGAGGTCGAAATCAACAACTCGGACAAAGGCAGAGGGATGAGTGCCAAGGACCGTCGGATAAAGCTCGAGAAAAACGGTTAAGATCAAGGGGCATATGGCGAATAGACGGATATAAAGTACGTAATCTGAATAGGGGCGACACATGAGGAGGCACGACAGACGAGGCAGTTATTTTTTTGTGTACGTTATGAGTTTAGAATTTCAAATTTCAAATTTTGAATTTAAAAATAACCAGGAAGAAGTACGGAAAGATCGAATCTGGTAACCTTATGGTGTATCGGCTCGAAGGAGTCAACTGATCTTATAAATGCTCGAACTCAAACCTTAAAATTCAATAAAAGGGTAGACAAGTCAAAACTCACTCTGGATATCAAGAAATAGAAGCTTCAAGTCGAAGAGCGTAAAAAAAGGGTCAACAAAGCAGTACTAAGAGCACAGAGATCCACTCTGGGATCGATTTGTCTCAGCTCGACCAAAGTTGGGGGAGGGTGGAGGGGGTAGGACGACTAGATGATATGAGATATCACACCAGGTCAACTAAATTAAAGAAGCAAGCAGCCAGACCGGGCTAAGAGGACAGCTCGAGCCACTACCAAAGATCGACCTGAAGACAATAATCGGGCTATTGATGACGTCTCGGGGGAAAGTCGTCAGCCACAACACGAGCTCGCTAGAAGCTCAACCCCAGCTGACTAAGAGTTTGACTCGATCTCATTGGTAACAAGGGAGCTAGTAGGAGAAGATGTTCTACCTGACGAATATTCTACCTGGCGAATATTCTACCTGATGGCCTAGATCCAAACACATGAACAAGATAAAAAAACTTGGAGATAAAGCCATGCGAGGATTGGACCATGTGTCACGACGGGTCTGGATCACCTGCACACCTGACAAAGTCTGACCGCCTGCAACTTTGCACCTCGTATGGACGGGTGACTGGGGCAACTGAGTCAACTCTGTAGACAGACTTGGAGAGCAAGATACTACACTCTACATAAAGGGGTGTAGTAGATTAGTTACTTTTCTTACACTCTCTACACATTCTCATACATTTTGTTATTGTTCATCTTCTTCATTCACATACTAACTCAGGCATCAGAGGTTTTTCGCCAGAAAACTCCATTTCCAGTGTTGAGTTCTCGTAGATTTGGATGTCGTTGAAGGTAAAAGAGGACAGATCCTTGTTATATTAGCCCGAACCAAAGCTGAGCGAGATCCATATCACTATTAATATTGTTATAAACTATAGTAATATACCAACATTCATTTGACAATAAACAACAATGTAAATTTTATCACTTTAAAATATTATACACTACAATTTTAAATTAAGTGTCAGTTTATAATACTTACCATAATTTTTCAAACTTATCATTATTTGTATAAGAATTGAAATAATATATTGTTATAATGCATGAGTAAGGAAAGAGAGAGAAAAATATTGTTGTAAGTATTATTTATTGATTGTTAAATATTTCTGTTTCTTAATTCTAAACAATAACTGTAAAATAACAACTATTATATAACGGGTAAAAAACACAAATAAATCATAAATTAAACTATTTCATATCACAAAATAAAAATAAAAAAATGATATTAATATTTAAAACTAATTTTATACTAATCAATGATCCTTCTCTGTTTGTACCAAAAAAAAAATGATCCTTCTCTGTTTTAATTTATGGAATCTATCATTAATGGCTCGTATGTCACTATAGTGGTGAAAAAAAAAAATGTAAACCCAAACCCGAACTCGCACATCCTAGCACGAGCACGAGCACGAGAACATTGAAACAGAATCCGTCTTGATCCATACAAGCATGCCCCAGGACCTACAAAAATAATATTTTGCAAGTTTCTTTTTTTTTTTATTATTATTATTGAGGCAATTTTTAATCAAAAGACCAATTTTCAAACTTAGTTTGCAGTAACTACTATATATGAGGGAAATGATATGGTCCTGTTACGGAATCATTCCGTCAGTATTCGTAACGTTAGATTGACTATCCCAACGGTTGCATGATGATCTAACAGTTACTAATATCGACAAAATAATTTCGTAATAAGACCGTAGTATTTCTCCATATTAGAATACTATCAAATAATATTTTTCTCCAAGTCAAACATTCATTCTCAACAAAAGAATATTCTTAAAAGAGAAATGTTATATGTACATAATATTGTACATAGAGGTACATCAGTAATGCTAAGGAGCCAACAACCAATGGGACACCTCCATGTGGAGCTGTCCCACATTGGAGCCATGTGGGACAATCTCACATGGACTTGTCTTATTGGTTGTTGGCTCGTTGGCATTATTGAAATTTGAGAAATACATAACACTGAGTGTGAACTACCAAATATATAAAAATTCAAGTGAACCCCATCATCACATCTCATCCAAGTGTTTTTATTTTCCTTTTTAAATATTTTCTTTTTACTTACAAACTTTTCCGTATTTGTCACACATATTTTATTCATTTCCGTTACTCCACTTTTTCCTTTCATTTTATATTTTTCAATTGGGATTTTTAGAGTGGTAATGGCGGGCGACACTATCCGATTCCCAAATTGCAGGAGCAGTCACTCGCACAGAGAAACATTACTGTGTGTTCAGCATAAGCTATGTTTATACATATAA